CTCCTACTCCTCCCCCTCTCCCTCCTCAGCTCCCTGATCCTCTGCAGCCAGAGGAGGAAGAGGAGGTTCCGGTCATCAATATAGAGGCGGAGCTGCTGTGGGAGAACCAGCCTCACCCGCCTCGAGGAGACGTCCCAAATCGACACCACCTGGACTACAAAGAGGTGGAGCCACGAGACCCAGAGCCCCACAGCAATGGCTACACCCCCCACAGCAGCCACCTAAACATTCAGCAGCACACTGGAAGCAGTACTGGGAACACTGGGAGCACGGTGAGACACAGACAGAACATGAATCTGAGTTCTTTAAACTTTAAACAGTCAGAGTGAAGGATTGTCACACGATCGTAACAAATCAGCGAACAGGAAGTTGGGCTCAGATGGGCACCGCCTGCGCTCTCAAACAATATCTGTTCACAGATTTGTGATCCATTTTCTCGTCTGTGTGTGTTTCTGTAAATTCTGAATTTTGTGTTGTTGTTCAGGTCCGTCTGTCTGCACAGAGGGGGCCTGAGGACGAGCAGGAGAAGGTTTGGACGGTAAGACGCTCAGCCAGTTTATCCAGAGACCGACTGAAGCTCACTGTGTTAATGTCTCTTCCTCCTCCTCCTCCTCCCCTTCTTCCTCCAGTTCCACAGTCTGACTCCTCTCCGGCTGGAGGAGCTGCAACCGGGCGATGTTGAGTGGAGCTGGTCAGCTCACGGTCGCCCCCTGCAGGAACTCCAAGTTGGAGATTCTCCTCAGATGGCTCATCAAGCTCAGAAACACCAGCTTGAGCTCCGCCAGCACAAGGCACACACACACCTGCACACACACACCGGCATACACACACTCTCACACACACACACCGGAGTAACCTTTGACCTCCGGCTATCTGTGTGTGTTCAGGTGGGGAAGTCTGTGAGCAGCTCATGTCCTGATGGCTGGACGCACCACAGGAGACGATGTTACATCCTCAGCCCATCCGTGGCGAGCTGGGCCAGCGCCGACAGAACCTGCTCGCTGCTGTAAAGAAACCGCTTTCTCCTCTGACTCAGTTTCCGTTCTGTTTCCGGTTTGCTGATTGATCTTTGGTTTCAGATTTGGTCACTCAGCTGAGATGTGACACAAGTCAGAATCATCACTGATGTCCATGACATGTTTAAAACATGACCACGAGTCTCACTGTAACACATCTGACGGTTTAAAGGAGGTCCTCACAGAGTTTCTTCCAGCTGTGCGCGGCAAACAGCCTGCAGCTGCAAAGCAAGGAAAAGATTTTGAACCATCGTAGTGACTGTTTGATTTTTATTTTAACTTAATGAGCATTTGAAAACCATGCTTCATTTTATTAAGGCAACGATGCTGAGCCAGCCTGAGGTCATGCACCTCTGTGCTGCACGTATGAGCAGGAAGGAAATATTAATCAGTAAAGAACCTGCTCTCTGATGTGACCTTTGCTCTCCTCTCCTCTGGCAGGTTTAACAGCAGCCTGACTGACGTGCACTCCAGGAGAGACGTGAGCTGGCTCTGGAGGTTTGCAGGGAAGAAGCCATTTTGGATCGGTGGGTGTTTCCTCAATAATGATAACCGGATGATCTGATATCCTCGTGTCGATGTTGTTCCCACATCATCATAATAAATGTTGTTCCAGGTTCAACATTGCAAGTGACCAATCACATTGTTGTGACGTCCCCCTTTTGTGCCTTTGAAAAATACCGCCTTAAAAAAATCTACTTCACTTGCGAGAAGAGAAACCGCTTCTGTCTGCCGATCCAGGAACTTGAATTCTTTGCATTTCAGGATAGTTTTCTTTAATAAACGGTAAGCATTATACATATTGTCCTTACAGAGGCGGTTTCTCTTCTCGCAAGTGAAGTAG